AAATACTCAGTGTGAAGGCTGTGTACTGAATCTGTTCCCCAAAAAAGGGCTAGAAATACTCAGTGTGAAGGCCCTGTACTGAATCCCACCAACACCACATCCCTCCAGCTCAAAGAAAATAAAAAGCGCAGGACCACCTATAGTCCCAGCCTGCTCTGGAAGGCAGCGCCTCCTGGGAAGAAATGAGGCTGACCAGCAACAAGAGCAGGCACCTGAGGAGCAGGCCTGTGGGGGCCGAGCTGTGCACACGCACCTGGGGTTGAGCTCCTCACACAAGGCCCAGCACTCTCCTAAGGGAGGGGGCCTAGGACCCACACGGGTCAGTGAGGATGGGCAGGCTGCCCTGCAGGGACTGTGTAAGGATGGGGAGCGCAGCTCACCTGGGCTGTTACAGAGGCCTGAGTCTCTTCCCAGACCACAAGTCCAGTTGCATGACAAAGGTCGCCCGGGTGACAAACACAACACAGAACAGGGCAGCAGTTCCATGCAGCGAGCGCTTCAGCCACGTCCTGTCACCCTCAGCTCACACAGGATCAAGGGACTGCGCCTGACCATCCTTACGGGATCTGCACCCAGGGTCAGCACTGCGCTCCACCCTCTCTCACCCAGCCTCCCCAGCCCCTCCCCGGAGCCCAGCGTGCTCCTCCCCAGGCCTCGTCCCATCAAGTGCTGTTGTTCAACAGATGCTGGGGGCCTGTTCCGTTCGGCATCTGGACCCCCAAACCTGCTCTCACTACACCTTGCTGGGTCATACAGCGTGATGACACCCCAGCCCATCGCGCACTCTTTTCCTCTCCTCCCTCCTTGGTGCGCACCGCGAAGGCTGAGTGTATTTCCCAGATCGCTATTCTCCATCCAGGCTCCACACACCACGCTTCCCTGCACACAGTCTGAAAGTGCTCACTGCCCTGTCACTGGATGAGGAGCGGTGCCTGACACGCAGTAGAGGTACCGTGAACATGCCCGACTGAAGGGCAGCTGCAAGAGGCCCGCACGGTGCCCAGGAAGTGTGAAGAAGACTCCGGGGTCACGGAGCGCAGCCCCAGAGCCCAGATCTGCGCACCCGGATCGTGGCCATGTCAGTTCCAAGCTACGAGACTTTAGGCTGCTAATCAACCTCTCTGAACCTCTGCTGCTGCTTCTGTAAAGTAACACTGTTTCAGAAGTCAGAAGACCCGCAGCCTGCGAGGAATGTTCCTAAACTACGCCTGCCAATCCTTAGTGACCTGCATGAAGGAACCTCAAACAAATCAATAGCACAGACCCTCCAGAGCCCCAGTTTGGCAGGCACAGTATGTTAGCTGATCCTCGGACACAGCACAGCTGAATTCCTTGGATTCCCAGGTTCTCCTCTTCTCTTTCCTTCCTCCATCTCTTCAGAAAATTGCCACATAACTTACAAGCTTGAGATGTTTCAAAAACAGAAGTTACAAAATATTTAGAGACAAGCAGAGTGGTTCATGTAGAAACTTCCTGTATGCAGATTATCACATTCAGGGGAAATTTTCACAAGTTACAGGACACTTTTTTAAAGAAACAAACTCTGATATTGGGGGATAAATTGCTGAGTGTGCAAGTTATGGAGCTAGAAGAAAAGTAGAAGGGAAGGAGGAAAAAGAGAGAAATGTTTCGGTGACATCTTTAGAAAAAGGACCTTTAAGAAAAGAGAAAGCAAGGAACCCTTCCCACAGAACCAGAGAGTTTGGATGTCACTGTCCCTTTAACCACCCTACCCTAGAGCCCCGGGACCCTGATAGAGCCACCTGTGAAAGGTCAGGGCAAGCATCCCGGGGTACACCACCGCGTAGGGCAGCAGCTCTCTGTCTGCCAAGAGCAGGGTCCGGAAGGTCCTGTGGGTGCCAACTGCTCTCACCCCGCAGGCTCTGCAGGCTGAGCAGTGCGAAGGCCTCTCCGTGGCTGGGCCGTGTCTTCCCAGATATTCACCACATCTTCCTCTCTGAAAAGTGATCCCTGTGGCCTGCTTCCACTAACTCATACACAGGCAGGATCCGAAGTGTGCACGAAGCTTGCAGCACAGCACATTGTGTAGAAAACCTTTCCACAGCTTCACCTGGAGGGCAGATGTCTGGGAACTACTCCCTGTGCATGCAGCCCCTGCCATACCCCGGGGCCAGAATGTCCTTCTCCTGGAGCCCTTGGGCCCGAGGCCTACCTTGTCCATCCCAAGCCAGCCCAGGTGCCTTGGTGTCCCAGTGCCCGGGGGCAGAGTCAGGATGAAGGTCCAGGTCCCCAGTGCACACCCAGACCCCGCCTCCCACTCACAGGAGCAGCCCTTGGGCCCCTCTCTCGGCCTCCCAGATGCCCCCCGCCAAGGTAACTTGTCTTCTCCTAACCCAGGCACTGGATGGTTTATCTTCGGAGGATTCCTTGGTCCTCCGCAGAGTGCTCCTGCACACTTTCAGAGGCTCTTGAGCTCGGTCCACACACAGAAGGGCATGAACTCCTGACCTGATTCTTGCTGACCTTCAGAAGGGGACCAGCCAGGACCCTGCCACCGTGTAGCCCTCTGCCCTGTCAGGGACATGGCCTGTATGTGGGAACTACCATCCAGAATAAACAAGTGTGAGCTTGGAGTTATGTCCTGGAGTGGCAGGGAGATGACACCCGCCTCGCACCAGCCTGGTCTCTCCAGGACAGACAGGGACAGAGAGCAAGGGAGGCCAAGGGACAAAGGAAAAGGGAACGAGGAGGGCAGGGAGACTGCAGAAGGAAAGAAGCCCAAAGAGTGGGAGGAAGAAGGAGTAGGAAGGGGCACCTAGGGGAAAGGAGTAACAGAAGAGTAGGTGGCAACAGGGACCTAGGGGCAGGAGAGCCTGGAGGAGGAGGGAGGGAAGGGAAGAGGAGGGAAGGAGGGAAACACAGAGAACTCACTGGCTGTGGCCCTGAGTGCTGTCTAAGGCGGGCCTGAGGCTCTGCTGGGCCTGAGTGCTGTCTAAGGGGGGCCTGAAGCTCTGCTGGGCCTACTGGGCCTTCCCTGGGCAGCTCTCTGCGGGCCAGAACATGACCTACTGTGTCTATATGCTCTCCGCTGTGTCAGATCCAGCCAGGTTCCTTAATTCCTTTCCCTGCCCCAGAGAGAGGGTAGGCTTTCCACCAGGTGGAGCACAGCAACTCGCATGCCTGGTGCCCTGCCTCTGCTCACTTCCTTCCTTAAGGAACGCTTGATTTTGTGCGCAGCTTCGGCCGCCATCCAGACCAGCGCAAGCCTGGGACATCCCCAGATTCCCTGATTTCAGGACACCAGGCAGAGCTCACCCTCTTGTTCCTATCCAGAAGGAAGTCAGACCACATTAAGGACAGCGCGCGCCCCCTGGCGGCCCTCGCGAAATTACCTGAGTGAGGAGGTGCAGAGGCCCACGTGGCCCTGAATGTGCAAGCAGGTGCAATCAGGAGTGCAAAGGGGCAGCGCTGTCTGCACCCAGCCCCGTTCCTCAGACGCCACCCACTTCACCGCACCAGCGGACACAGACACAGGGACCCCAACATCACAAACATGAGGTGGGGCCGTGAGGATCAGGGTTGCCGATCGTGCGGCCTGGTTATGCAATCGTCACTCGGTGTGCATCCAGGCCTCCCGGTGACCCCTGAGCCAAGGCGAGGCCTGAGCTGAAGAACAGACCCAGCTCTCAGCTGCAATAGCACAGCCCAGCTTTGGGGTCAGCAGGGGACTGGGGGCACTTGGGGTCTGCTAGGGAGATGTTCACAGGGGCACCTGAGGGAGTGATTCCCCAGTGATGACTGGGGTGGCCGGGCGACCCAGCGCAGTATAGGAATCAGCTGAGTGCCTGTACCCTGCTTCCAGGCAACAGCTGGAGCCTTGTAAGGCTGGTTCCTGGTCACAACGTCTGAGCTAGGGCTCTGAAGACAGCCAGGGTGTCAGCTGGCTCTCTAGAAACAGCCATGGGTCCCTGGAAGCAGCTGCAGCACCTCCTCTCCCAGGACTGTCACCATGCCAGGGACCCCAAGGGACTAGTCTCCAGCCTGCTGGCAGAGCCGTCCAGCTCCAGGTCCCCCTCCAGGAGAGCAGCCCTCCTGTCCTTGACACTGTGATGCTCCCGAGGGAAGCCCTCCTGGGGCTGCAGGCTCTCCACAGTGAAGTCCTGAGGCCTCAGATGAAGGAGGCAAGCGGGCTGGCTCCCTGTCTGCCAAGGAGGGCACAGGCGCTGGACTCCACATGGACCATGGGACCACCACATGAGCTCCCTCTGTGTGAGAACTCAGTACCAGTTTACCATTTGTCACCTCCTGAAGCCCTGCCACAGGGTCTGAGAGAGAGGCCCAGGGCTCGGTGTGGGTTCCTAGTGGGTGTCTCTGGGGACGAGTGGGGCTGGGGGGTGGGGCAGCCATGCCTCAGGGTGTCTGCTCCACAGTGGGCACGAGGGAGACTTCACCACAGCAGGTGGGACTCAGGTGACATGTGCAGAATGGTTCTGAATCCTAAAGACAGTGATTTCATCCATTACCAACAGTGGCAGGGTAGAAAAGCTAAGTGCTCGGATAAGAAAGCCGCTTTGGCAGACCAAGCATCTGTCTGCACCTCAAACCCATTCATTCTCAAAAGTAGGGGTAAAGTAGGAGCCAATATCTCACAGCCTGATGGTGAATGTGCACAAAGAGCATGCAGCTTGCCTCATGACTATCTTGCAGAATACAGAAAGCTGTCTGCTCAGCTCAACAGAAAGACAAGGCTGTCCCCTCTCCTGCCCTTCCAGCCCTGAACCGCTGCCTCCCAGCTGCAAGAGGCTCAGCAAAGAAGCGCAAGGTAAGAGGCTGGGGAGCAACAAGGGGAATGTTCCCAGCTGCAGGGATCGCTGTACAGCAAATCTGCATGATGGGACCAAACAAAGACAGAAAGGGAAGCCTTCCGGAAGGCACCAGGGATTACAGCAAAGTGGACCGCAGATTATTCGGCATGTCTGTCACTTATGTATAATCCAGCAATGAGCAGGGGAATTCGACAACACCAGCTAGGGGCACAAATAGCACAAGTAACTTCACTTGTGAATTTGAATCTGGTCCTGAGAAGAACACACACAGCACTCAGGAAGGGCTGCAGAGGAGGACTTTGTACCACGCTGCCACTCCTCAGAGCCAGCCAGCGGGGCCCACCCCCACGCTGCTGCTTCACACTAAATGGTGCTCAGGTCCAAGCTGTTCTCTTCCTGCAGGAGCCTTACCGGAGCACAGCATAAACATGGTTTCAGGCCTTCTCACTTTCTGTGAGGGCATCATTTTGCCCTTTGTGCTTTCATGACAAAATCCAATGTTTGTTTATTTGTTCCATTACATGAACCAAATCCTAGGTCTTTGGGGCACAACTTCCCATCCTGAGGGTGAGAAGAGCGGAGGGGCAGGCAGCAGAGCCCACGGCAAGGTGAGGGGAAGTCCCATAGCTCTGTGGAAAATGGCATTCTCCCAATGCCAGAGGATTCTTCATCTGGTGACCACAATAGCTCTTTGCACATTTTGAACATTGAGATCTTAGGTTGTGCACCAGAAAGTTCTGGGCTCAGCACACACGTGTCTCTTGGTTCCAAGGCTCTGCCTCTCTGAGGGCTCCATGAGTCCTGTCTGCTGTTCATGGCCTGGCTGCCTCTTGGGTCCTTCTCTGACTGCACTGGGTCTGGAGGAGCAGAATCCCGAGGGCCACCAGGATCAGGCCAGCCAGGCCCATCCGGACGAGATTCTCCACCATGTAATCCTGAGGCTGTGAGGCTGAGGTGGGGACAGAGAGGCCACAGAGGTCAGGACAGACAAAACTCACTCCCACCCCACGCATGTCCCCTGTGTTCCCTGCACAGGACTGGACCTGGGTTCAACCCCAGGACTGACTATTCCTGCTCACCTGTCTTTGGCTCTGACATGTGCTGTGATGGGCTGGGGGGCCTACATGTTCCCGAAACCAAGTCAGGGAGGAGGATTGTGAGGCCATGAAGAGACCTGAAGGTCGCTCCTGAGCTGTACAGCTCTGTGTCTCCTCCAGAGGAAGCAGCTTCATGTGGCCCAGAATGAGGGCTTTCCACCCACTGGTCAGCTCCCTCTGCTCCGCCCAGTGCACCCTCAGCCTCACTGTGCTCTCTGAGCTCACAGCTGCAGCTGGAATCACTGTGGAAGGGTGCAGGGGACCTCCACCTGGGACATATGAGGATATGCAGTAATTGTCCTGGATTTGTGTCCCTGCTGATCTGGAAGATCAGAGCCACCTGAAGATCTAGAGCCCAGGGACGCTGGACCGGTCCTCAGGCCCCTGGACTCCAGGAGCACAGCAGATGCAGGATTCTGGGGCTCTCTCTCCTTCACCACCCAGCCAGGCCGCCTGTTGCTTCAACGTCACATTAGCCCTCCTGAAGGGATCGTCGCATGGGCAGGAGCCCCTGGGTCACAGCACTCGCATGTGGGCAGACGTGTGTGTGCTCAGGGCGGGTGTGTTCTGTGTGGTAAGCTCAGTATTGTCCCCAACCAATATGCAAGGTTATTAATGTGTCTAAATCCATGACATCTTTATTTCTATGTGATATTTCAAAAATGTACCCCAGAGGTTATTACAGTACTTGATAAACTCAAACGTCCCTGTGGCTATTCAGAGCTGACAGCACCGCCCACCGGGCTGTGCTCACCTTGCAAAGACAGACAGGAAGTAGCAGGGAGCAGTACCCAGCCCGGGCTGAGGTGCAAGAACCCGGCTCTGATTTCATCTGTTCCCCCAGCAACCAGGACCACGATGCCTGCAGCCCGAAACTTGCAGCTCTCCACGAGCACCCGCCCTGGCTTCTTCATGCCCACCCTCCCATGCTGTGCACTCAGCCCCCTCAGTGCCAGGGAGGTTCTGTGGGGCTTCCTGTGCAGGAGGAGCCCACATGTGTCCATAGGCAGGTTGCCCCTCTCTTTCCCTCCACTGCTCCTTCATCTAAAAACTCAGCCTCCTCTAAGGAAAGCCAGACACCTCGCCCGAGCCCTCCTTCTACAACTTGTCCTGCGCAAGAGCCACACAGGCTCCGAATAAACAGCCATAATTGAAGGAAAAGTCAAAGAAGTGTGACAAGGTCAGACTTATGTGAATGTAAGCATGTGTGGTCCTCTATCTCTTGCCTTCTCGTGGCTCCACAGCAGTGATCCTGGGCAGGATGTCCACGTCTGGCTTCCAATTAACATAAGGAGCTTCAGCTTCATTCGACTACTTCCCTCTTGAAGGAGACCTCAATAGAAACATTTAGCAATTGGACGAAGAGGATGCTTGGAGTAATATAGCAGCCATAACTGCCTCAGTGCTTTGGACAGCCAGGGCAGCTACTGGCTCTGCGGCACGAGCTCAGTCAGTACACACTGATCACTTTGTAGACAACTGGACCCAAAGGCTGATGAAAGCTGGAAGACTCAGGGAGATATTGTTATAAAGTTGCAAACCCAAGAATGCATTTAGGAAACCTTCTGTCCCTTTTATGGCAGATCAAATTAAAAGTTTGCAGTTGCAACTAGGGTTCGAGTGTCACTATAGTATGACTGTTTCGACTCACCCCTTTACTGTAGAACAAAATTCTACACCCTTGGAGAATGGTCAAAAACCACACACAAGGAAAAACCATCAAGATGTCGCTATAGATATAGATGCCCCTCAGAAAAGAGTGCTGCTCCCCTGCACTCACTGGACCTTCCAGATGCAGCCCAGGACTGGCATACAGACCAGGGGTGAAACCCTGCAGCTGAAGTCCCTGCAGAGAGACTAGGGGCCAGAACCACCCAGCTAATCCAGGAACAGAGCATCTTGCCACAGGGGCAAAACAGGTCCACTTCCAAGGGCTGCAGCAGGAAGGAGCCGAGCACAGCAGACAGATGCATGACAGGCCCAATGGGACAGGTTCATACTTGGGAGATCTGCACCCAAATTTCAGCAGGTGCTAAGGTTATAACTGCACCAAAGCTCTACGCCAAAGATCAGAGGAAAGTTCTATACAAAATGACAAAGAGAAGGAATAAAATGCAATCTCAGGCCTCGAGCCCACACAGGACAAGTGCGGAAGACACTAGCACAGAAGAAATTGGGACTCCCACAGCTGAAGTGTCTGAATCAGTAGCATCTGAAGTAAAGGAACAACTGCAGAAAGGTAGAGAGAGAGGAAGCCAGATCAGAAATAACCTCTGAAATAGAAAAAGAAATCTCTGAATTAACAGCGTCTGAAGTAAAAAATCAAATGCAGAAACATGTAGAGGAAATCAGATCAGAAATAAACTCTGTAGTAAAAATATTAAGAACTGCTTCTCAAGAAGAAAATGATTAAAAAAGAGATTAGGAAACGACAGATTCATTCAATAAGCAATGCAAGAAAGAAATAGATCGCATGAAGTAGAGTCAAAGAGATATAGAGGAACTTAAAATCTCAACCACAAGCTTGCAAAACCATTTGAGTGAAAGTGAAGATAGAGCTTCAGATCTTGAAGACACTGTCGCAGTTAGTGAAAAGGCAAGAAAAGATCTCTTTAAAAACACTACGATGCAGGAAAAAACAATTCATCACCTGCAAGGCAATGCAAACATGAAAAAAGTGAGACTAATAGGCATCAATGAGAAAAAAGGAGTCAATACAAATGATATAAAAAGAATATGGACAGAAGTATTGGCAGAAAACTTCCGAAACATGAGGAAACAATGTGACATTCAGTAACCAAAGCATACAGAACTCCAAATAACTTCAACCCAATTAAACACACTGAGACATATAATAGTCAAGATCCCAGAAATCCAGCAAAAGAACAACCTACTGAAAGTCGCTGGAGAAAATAAGCATATTACATTTAAAGAAAACCCATCAGAATAATGTCAGACCTCTCTTCAAAAATAATGAAGGCAAGAAGAGCATGGAGCAGAGTACTTCAAGTCCTCTATGAAAAAAATTCCAGCCCAGACTACTATACCCTGCAAAACTCTCTTTCAAGTTTGATGGAGAAGTGAAATACTTCCATGGCAAAGAACAACTAAAGAATCGCATGATGACAAAGCCAACCCTACACAGACTACTAAGAGATGTTCTAGACAGAGAAAAAATGATCAGAACCCCATGAACAAAACAGAAGGAACTCACTAAATAAGGTAAGCAAATAAACACAGGAGAAAAAGGAGTACAAAACATCAGGTATATAACATGTCAATAGTAAGTCAATACATCTCAATTATAACCAGCAATGTAAATGGACTCAATTAATCAAGTAAAAGAAATAGACAGGCACAGAGGATTAGGAAACAAAATCCAACAATATGCTGTATAAAAGAAAGAGACTTAACTTGTGAAGAAATTCATAGGCTGAAAGTCAAAGGATGGAAAACAATACTACATGCCCCAGCATCTCAGAAGAAAACAGGGGTAGAAATCCTGTTCCCAACTTCAAAACAAGAATGATCAAATGAAATAAAGAAGGCCACTATATACTGGTTAGGGGAAGAATTCACAGGAAGAAGTAACACTCATAAATATGTACACATCAAACACGGGAGCACCCAACTATATAAGACAAATCTTAATGGACATGAAAAACCTAATATCCACTACCACAATCTTAACAGGAAACCTTAACACCCCCTTATCACAAAAAGATAGGACAACCAGACAAAAATTAACAAAGAAGTACCAGAACTGAACCAGAGCTGGGAACAAATGGACTTAGTGGACATATACAGAGTGTTGCACCCAAACACAGCCGAATACACATTTTTTTCCAGCTGCACATGGGTCATTTTCTATGATAGACCACATATTAGTCCATAGGTTATGCTTAAGTATATGCAAGAAAACAGAAATTATCCCATGCACATTATCTGACCACAGTGCAATAAAACTGGAAATAAACAAGACAAGAAAACAGACAAACCCCATAAATATATGCCCCATAAATTAAACAACACCCTACACAGCAATCAATGGGTCAAAGATGAAATTAAACAAGAAATACAACAATATCTACAATTCAATGAAAATTCAATTACAACTTATCGGAATTTATGGGATGCGATGAAGAAGTTCTCAGAGGGAAATTTATAGCTGTGAACTCACACATTACAGAAACAGAAGGGAAACAAATAAACACACTAACATTGCACCTCCAAAATTTAGAAAAGGAAGACCAAACCAAACACAAAGCCCAAAGATGGGAAGAAATCATAAAGATGCGGGCAGAAATTAATTCAACTGAGACAAAGAAAACATTTCAAAGAATTAAGAAATGAAAAAGCTGGTTCTTTGAAAGATTAAATAAAACTGATAAGCCCCTAGATATCCTCATCAAAAAGAGGAAAGAAAAAAATTCAATTTCAAGCGATAAGGAATGAAAAGGGTGTAATTACCACAGACCCAGTGGAAATTCAGAAGACTGTCAATTGCTACTTTCAGAATCTTTACTCTCACACAATAGAAGACACAGAATAGATGGACATATATTCCTACAAAACTACAAATTACCAAAACTAAATCAAGAAGATATAACAGGGGCCGGGGAGATGGTTCGGTGGAATAAGTGCTTCCCAGGCAAGCACAAGGGCCTGAGTTCAATCCCTGGTTCTGAAAAAAAAAAAAAAAAAAGATATAACAACTCTCAATAACCAAATAACAGCCAGTGAAAAACTAAATGTAATAAAAAAAACCTACGGACAAAGAAAAGTCCAGGTCCTGATGGATTCATACCTCAATTCTAGAAGAAATCTATACAAGATATAATCTCTACACTCC